TTCAGAGGATTAAAATAGACATAAAATTATAAAGTGAGACAGACGAATTTGTAGTAAAATCGGAAAAAAATTAAAAAATTACATTTTCGGGTCGTACAGCTGACACCTGATATAAATATTTCATTAGTGCAAAAGTTTTGTAGTTCATATGTACAAAATGCTTACATCTCACATCACAGATTACATGAACGAATAATACAAAGCCTTTTAAGCTATGATTGAAAGTGTAAAAAAAAGATATTCATTAAACTGTAATTTATGGTAATTCGGAGGCTTAGCTAACAATAAGATAGGAATGGTAAACAAAGCGTCTAGCAGTAAGTACCGGATTTTCCAAAAGATGGCACTTCAATAAGTTAAAGAGAATCCACGTGTTTGAGTGAGACCAGAAGATATTGTAAGAACAGAGAGGATCCGAGAGCGGACTTTTGGCTGTAACGCTAAAATGCCCTCGTGCACTAACGCCTTTTAAAGAAGTGGATCCAAATTACGTAGCAAAATCCAAATTTCTGCACAATTTATGGTGCGCGTTCGTACGAATAAAGCTCCAATAGATTCGAAAAGTGGATTTTCGCGAGTACGAACGCGCCATAAATTGTGCAGAAATTTGGATTTTGCTACGTAATTTGGATCCACTTCTTTAGAAGGCGTTAGTGCACGAGTGCATTTTAGCGTTACAGCCGAAAGGCCGGCATGTCCGCTCTTGGATCCTCTCTGTTCTTGCAATATTTTACAGCCAAAAGGCCGGCTAGTCCGCTCTCGGATCCTCTCTGATAAGAAGTTCATTTAGAGATACTACTGACACTGAAGAGTCTGCTTTATCGACCTCGTGCAAATTTTTCCGATCTTCCAGCATCGTCTTAATATAGCATATTAGTCCCAAAACACAATATATGTATATGTATTATAAGCCTTAAGCCGTAAAAAAATGAACCAATCGCAGTTGAATGTGAAGAGAATAATTGATTATGATTGATCATTTTCTTATGGCTTAAGGCTTACTACATTTATTGTATTTCGGGACTTAGGCTGTGTTCGATTTGGACGCTCACGCGCTGTAAGCGCTTATAAGCATTGCTTATGTCGTTTGCTTTGACGTTGTAAGCGCTCGGAAACGCGTTCACGATGTCATCATGACGTCATAACTCGTGCTCACAGACGCTTATTTTATCGAGGTAGAGCAGCGAAAGCGTAAGCGCCAATAAGCGCTTACTGTTCAAAGTGAACGCTATATGAACGTGAGCAAATTGAAAATCATGGCGTCCCAGCAATCTTCATCGAATTGTATAATAAAAAAAATAGAAGTCGAAATAGAAAATATATACAGAAAAAAAATACATAATAACCGTAACTCCGGAGGAAACAAAAAGTTCTTCCTGTAATTCCTCATCATAATTATTACATTCTATGTCACCCAAAAAGTCGAA